TACATGCGTGCGTCACTCCCAATGTGTGCGCAAGCCAGGCGCCTTCATTAGAAATAACTAACATTTGCATGCAAAAGACTTGATATGTGAATATACTATTTCACGACAGTGTCACAAAGAGGTCTATGCATAGCAAAAATAATAAATAAATAAAAAATACAAATCTGTGGACATGTAAAAAGAAAATTACACGTAACTACTTCTGACGTGGTCAAACAGAACTTGTGTTTGACAACACACACACACACACACGAAACAGCCCTACATATACAGGAATTCTGATAATTGCTGTAGTCTATTTAAAATTATTTAAAGTTGTTTATTAATTTCTCATTTCAATAAAATCATTTGAATTTAATTATATCTGAATTTGAAATACTTTCAATTATTGATTAATTGATATAGTCATAAATATAAGTTGATATTTTGTGTATATTTCAGTTGTTTAATTAATTTGTTTAATCATTGAGCACATTAGCATCTTGAATATTTTATTAGATTATTTTAAAATATAAAATACGTTTAATTTTCGATTTATTGATACAATCATAAATATAAAATTGTTGCATTTTATTTACATTTTAGTTGTTCATTAACTCAAAATGCTAGTTTGCCCAACAAATAAACAAGATAATACACTTTTTGATTGAATGATTCAATGACTGACTCATAAGAACTTCAATTGTTTCAATACTTGATAAATCCGCATTTTTGAATGAATCTTTTAAATTAATGATTGAGTTATTATCTTTACTGGATTTTTTGAATGAGTGATCCAGTGACTAAAGATTTCACTTGCTTCATACCAGATGAATCAACATTTTTTTTTTCAAGATCAAGAATCTTTAAATTAACTATTAAACTAATCACTTGTAAAGACTTCATTCACTTCCTTACTGCATTTTGAACAAATCACTTTAATTATTTAATTCATTCATTAATGTTCTGAATGCTTCTTTTTAAAGCGTTCAATGACAAATACACATTTCTATAGCTACTTGACAGCACATGTAACAATGTAATCTTCAATTTAAATGGTATTATTTTTTAAAAGTAATTTTCTCATTTGATTTGTATGCATATATCATTGTTGATATCAGAGCTATATCCCCAGCACTTGTGTAAGACTTTTGTATACATTTTGTGTAAACTTTTGTGTAATAATTTGTGGTCTCATTTTATTTGTAACACTGTAAGCTATTACATCGTCTTGCTTTTTACAACAAAGACACTGTTTTCGCGCGTAACTAACATAGTACACAATGTAAACAACAGGTCCTAGGCAGAAATGGTGACATAAACAAACAAATAATGATCCATAATTCATCACTATTGTGTTGTTGGACTAAATGTGTTTGATGGGAGGTTGTTCCGAGGACTCTTACCTTTCAACCGTGGTGTACAAGCGTTGAATGCGTGTATATCTTGTTATTACGATGATATATACTCAATATCTAAGCATGTTCTGTAGCTTAAACAAATTAAGCAAATACATTCTTTATAAACTTCCCATCAGTTCAGATCAGTTATAAAGTATTTTTTTTTGTGTGTGTGTGTCTTGAATTAATTTCTGCAGTGAAATCATTGATTCTGTTTACAAAGCCTGTCAACATGACTTGTTTCCCATAAGTTTTTGAGTTCCACTTTAATTTCTGACTTTCTGTCTACAACGCAAATATTTTCAAAAGAGTTGGAATATTATGCTTTTGTGTTGTTTTTGAACTTTGACAGCCTCTTTGTGCATTCATTCCCACTTTATTGACAAAAACACCTTTCATATTCAATAAAAACATCACACATATTGTATTCCAGCAAAGTCCAGCCAGATTGAGTGCGAGTAAATATTAATGGTAAATTTTTCATCTTCAGGTGAACAGTTGCTGTAAACACAAGTCTTGCACATGTTCAGTCATCTGTGCTTGCATGCAAACACACCAGCCGTGTTCAGCGAAAGGCCGTTTGAACAGCAACTCTTGTTTTCCTGTATTATTTTATTATTTACCATATCATCCGTGTCTACATGACGAATGTGTGTGCGCTTTGCTCTTTGATCCTATAAACTGTGTTTCATCAGGGGTTTCGTTCAATTACCGGTGCAACAGCTGCTTTTGCTTTGCATTTTTTCTCTTCTGTTCCAGACAACTTTGAATGCCCTTGAGTGTGCTTCCTTACCATGTTTGGCAACCTTGTGTTTTATAATCAGCCAACGTGTCTACTTCTGCTATTATGGGTGATTTTTTTTTTTTTTTTTTTGCTTTTTGCTTCTTTTATATCCACCCAGGGAGACATTTGTTGAAGCAGATTTTTTCTTCTTTTATGTCACAGATCAATATGATTTTTGTAATTAGGTAGTAAAAATATAATTTAATTTAATTTAATTTAATTTAATTTAATTTAATTTAATTTAATTTAATTTAATTTAATTTAATTTAATTTAATTTAATTTAAATATTACTTAAATTAGGTTAATCATTAATTTAAATACAAGCGTTTATTATTTATTTATATATACGATTTATTTGTATATATGTATATTATTGTATAATTGTATATTTATAAATTAATAACAATACGAAATACATTTTTAAAGCTGCAAAATTACTACAGATATACATAAACTGAACTACTAAAATTATTTGTACACACACACACACACACACACACACACACACACACACACACACACACACACATACACACATATATATATATATATATATATATATATATATACAGATGAAGACCATTATTAGCCACCCTGTTTATTTTCATCTCAGAGAGCTGATTTTTTCAGCACATTTTAAACAAAATAGTTTTAATGACTCATTACTAATAACTGATTTCTTTTATATTTGCTATGATGACAGTAAATATTATTTGACTAGATATTTTTCAAGACACTTCTATTCAGCTTAAAGTGACATTTAAAGGCTTAACTAGGTTAATTATGATAACTAGGCAGGTTAGGGTAGTTAGGCAAGTTATTGTATAATGATAGTTTGTTCTGTAGACAACAGAAAACATTGCTTAAAGGGGCTAATAATATTGACCTTCAAGTGTTTTATTTATATCCTAGCTATGTTCTAGCTAAAATAAAACAAACAAGATTTTTTTTTTCCAGAAAGAAAAAAAAATATTATCAGACATAATGTTCTTGCTCTGTTGAACATCACTTGAGAAATATTTAAAAAAAAACTTCAACTTTATATAATAATAATAATAATAATAATAATAATAATAATAATAATAATAATAATTATTATTATTATTATTATTAATTATTATTATTATTATTAATTATTATTATTATTATTATTATTATCATTATTATTTTTTGTTGTTTTAAATTATAACTTAAATTAGGTTAATTGTTAATTTATATATAAATAATAATTATAAAATTAATTATATTTTTGATATGTTAATTATTAAGATAATAAAAAGTAATATTTTAATTGTATTTATTTATTTATTTTATCATGCTGAATAAATCCCTGCTGCCCTGCAATATATGAATATGTTACAAATGTATATATGTGTAAAGATTAATACACATTCAACTACTTAATACATTTTCATAGTACATTAATAGATATACAGATAAAAATACAATATTTTATCTATTAAGATAAAATGTATTATGTATTTTATCAATAATTATTATAAAAATATCAATAACAAATATGGTCAAAAATATAAATTGAGTATTTAACAGATGTGTCTGTGCATAAAGATTAATACAAATTCTACAACTAATTCTTTCGTCCTGGTACTTTAATAGTTAGAACAGATTAATAGACTATTAAGATAATAAAAAAAATATTTTATTTTATTTTATTTTATTTTATTTTATTTTATTTTATTTTATTTTATTTTATTTTATTTTATTTTATTTTATTTTATTTTATTTTATTAAAAATAAAGCTGCAGAAATTCCACATTTCGTCTCTGTAACAAGGAGCATTCAGAAGACAGATCGGTGCAGGACAGTTTTAATATTTCCGTGTTGGATGCCCTGCAGTGCATTATGAACCCATCCACAGGGAATAGGCTTGATCTTTCCACTGATCTCCAGCGTTCTCATTTAGTCTATTATAAGACGAGGTGGAGGCCAGTGCCGCAGTTCCCACTCTCCACCAAAACCAACGCCTTTGCTTGTACCCCAGTACTTCTGCCCACCTGCCGAGGGACAAAAAAAAAAAAAAAAGACACAAAGAAGCACATTTACCTCATCTCTCCCTGGTGCTTTGGATGTTGCCCTCTAGAAGCTAAAGTAGTTCAGCTCTGCGCCTCTCACCGAATCGACTAAAAGAAAGAGCTTGCAAGCATTATGACCATAATGGGCTTTAATGAGCATCGAACGCCTATTATTCAAACGTGCGCCAACCATTTTTGGACCGCGATGCTATTAGAGATAAAACAAAGATTGCATGAAAATCGTCCCTGCGTTTTATTGAATGCCTAATCAGGCAAGTAATCAATTAAGCGCATGATTGCATTTGATTTTAATAGCTCTACAGTATATGAAGAGGCTCTATTTTGGCCTCCACTGCCTAACTGTTAGGCATAGCTGTAATTAGACACAGCATGTCCTCATTTAAGGAAGGTCTGTAAGTAATTAGCATCTAATTCCATTGTATCCGTAATAAGGAGAGATGGCATTGTCTTTAAAGAGGCAGTTTCAGGCAGCCGGTTTAGCTTTAAATATTACCCAGGGGTCACTGAATTTAATAAACTCAATCTTCAGGAGAGTTCGAAGCAGTTTTGATCGATGTCTAACCACGTTTGATATCAAGGGGCGAAACATTCGCTTTCAAAACAGATGCGTTTTTTTCTGACAAGCAGTACCAGGGGGACCATTTCAATGAATGTTAATGAATATTTGAATTTATCTTAATTGATGAATCCCCGCCGCATCTGTGTGATTCATATGGGAACTTATAGCTCGTAGCGCACATGCTAATGCTAAAGGTTGAGTATTCTCTTTGGTTCTCTTTCAGTTGCTCGCAAGGGGACTTTGTGACACACACAGCATGGCTGAACAGATCGAGTATACTCTACGCCGGAGAGGATAAGTGGTCTGTGGACCCGCGGGTGAGTCTGGTTACTCTGAGCCAGGAGGAGTTCACCATTAAGATCGAGGATGTGGACGTGACAGACGAGGGCCAGTACATCTGTGCGGTGCAGACCAGCAGCAGACCTCGAACCACATCCGTGCACATCATCGTTCAAGGTGAGTATTTCTGAGTGCTAGGGCTGAGTGCTTTTATACGCTGTTGATTTCTTTTTTTCAAAGGGGTACTTCATCTTGAAATGAAAATACCACCATCATTTAGTAGTGCTCGTGTCGTTGTGATTCTTGCAAGAGTTTCTGACTCTCTTTCTGAATGAATAAATAGTGTGGAATATGCAGCGTGCACATGTCTATAATGGGCATTGGAGCTGCGAAGCTTCAAAATGACAAAAAAAGGGCCATTAAAGTGACATTAACGTGTGATATTTGTGGTTTTATTTTTTATTTAAAGGGGATGTTTGCTTGACACCATTTTCAATCTTGCGTGTTCAGTGGCTGTTCATTTACATGACAATTTGGACTCTTGAAATGCTAATTTTTGACAACAGAATTGTTATCTTTTTTGTATGTCACTTACAGAAAGGATCATTTATGAAAACTGAGTATTACCTATTGAGTCTATAGGCCCATGCATCGCCCATGCTGTCGCAACTGGCTTGCTTGGTTTGAGACTTGTTGTTGCACATCGATGGATTTGCTCTTCAGTGTTTGGACTTTCAGCAGTGAAAATTAAACCACAATGAACTGAACTAAACTGAAATTCAATTCTAAAAACTGGACTGACTGTTTAAATTTACTAGAACTTCTATGTTTAGCTGCTTTGACACAAGCTGCATTGTAAAAGCGCTATGGAAATAGAGATTAATTGAATTGAATTTAATTTAATCGTGATTATATTCTCATGTAAAAAAAAAAAAAAATACTGTAATAGTAAATATGATGTTTTTGAACTATACTATGGTGAAGTACTTAAATCAATCAGTTGTGGTAATGCTGTAGTTCAGTAGTAAACTGCTATAGTAATATTGTACTTGTACTTGTATCTGGTGAGCGACTCCCTTCATCAGCACGCATGATCGCATTCATCTAATTTGATTAAACTAAGCTTTCTAAATTATGGCTACATTTTACAAGCAAGGATTCTGACACAGCAACATGAAGCAGATGCTTTACAAAAGTTGAGTGTAAGGGGGAAACACGTCAAACTTAATGAAACATTTGAGGGCACATGAAACCATCCTAAAGGCAGCGGAATGCACGGCTTGCGACATCATCTTGCACTTTCACTGAGTACATTGACATGTACACCAACACTCCGATTTTAATATGATTTACAATCCGGTATCGAAATAGCCCCAAATGATACCCAATCCTAATAATAACAACTGTAGTATACAGTACAATAAACTTCCTTTAGTATAGTATAAAACGCTATAGTGTTTACTATAAAAAAAAATAAATAAATAAATAAATATATATATATATATATATATATATATTTTTTTTTTTTTTTTTTTTTTTTTTTTCCATGTAGGTTTGGACTGATTAATGGATTTAGAGGTGTGATTCGTACTATGGATAGAAATATTTCCAGCAATGAACCATACTTTTAGTCTTTACTTCAAAGTATTTAAAAAAAATATGACTTCAGGAAACATGTGACATAAGTCATACAATTAATTTTTATGTTGTTATGTATATACTATTTTAATATAATATTTCAGCAATTAATTTAATGTTCTTTAGTAGACAAAAAGATGATGTAAAACTTTAGGAGCATAACAGAAATATCTAGATCTTTGTGAATTTTTATTTTTTTTACAGATGTCAAACCTGGCACAATGCACACAGTGCATCACATGTGCCAGACAAGTTTGTTTATGTAGCACATTTCCTCTAAAGTGCTTTACATAAACAAGAATACAGGAAACATAAAGAACAATAAGTATAAGAAATAAAAACAAAGAATCAAAATGAATAAAAACTGGTTAGAAAATTATGGTGCAAATGCCTTGTTGATGTCAGAGGAGAATGGCTAGACTGGTTTGACGTAGAAAGAAAATAAGAACTTAAATAACCACTCATTACAACCGAGGTATGCAGAAGAGCATCTCTGAATGCACAACACATTGAACCTTGAGGCGGATAGGCTACAGCAGCAGAAGACCACACTGGGTGCCACTACTGTCAGCTTAGAACAGGAAACCGAGAAGATTGGAAAAACGTTGCCTGGTCTGATGATTCTCGACTTCTGCTGCGACATCAGATGGTAGGGACAGAAATAGGTGTATTTATGTATGTATGTATGTATGTATGTATTTAATGCTTTAATGGGGGGGTTTTGTCACTTTGTGGTGCTTGGCAGTACATTAACCCATTACAAGTAGTCAATGTGCTTAACTGAGCAAAAATGTCTAAATGTCTATAAATATGCAACATTTATTGTATACTTCATGTAACAGAAAGTCCTACAACTTTCACAACGATCCTCAGAGAAAGTAAATGTAAGCAATCCCTTCTGTGTGCACATTTGCTCATGTTGGATGAGCTGTCTGTATGTTTGTACAGGTATAATAGCCATTTTTAGGAGGCCATTTTTCAGTATCGGTTAGAAACACCTTGAACTCCAGTTACGATATTGGGTATTTTAATGAAGTGGATAATTATGTAATTAATGCTGATTGTGTAAAACCTTGGAGGTGCATTTTTTACTCCTGATTTGTGGGTCCAGTGTTAATATGATTGATGGCAGTGTCATTCCTGTGCAGTGATGCAGTAAGTCATAACAGTGGCAAGCGGAGCTACAGTACTGTACACTGGCTGGGATTTAGAGCACAGCCGCTCACCACTGCAGAATTTCAGCTCTCTGTGCAAGGCTCATTATACTGCTGCAATTTGGGATAATCTTTTCTGCTAGTTAATTGTTCATTCCAGCACAATTTCTCAATTAGATGAGTGATGAGTTTAGAAAAGTACTGGGGGAAAGTTTTTCTAAACTGTGTTTGGTATGAACATTAAGCGTCATGTGTTAAACATAATATGTATCCTTTTGAATTAATTTTACAAAAGTGATTTAACATGCAACGATTTGGCATGATTTACAGTGATCAATGATTTCGTAACAAACATACTTTTTTTAAAAGTGAAACAAAATTTGAATTGAGGCTATTTTTAAATTAGTTTTTCTTTAAAATTATATAGGGATTTCACTTAAGTAGTGTCTAATTATCCCTTGAATCATGAAGATCTTGGTCTATGTATGAGCTATTTTTACACATGGTGACCTTTTAGAGGGCACTTTTTTGAAATCAATGGTATTAGTTTGGTCTTTTTCTCTATTGTTCACTATTATAATTTTCTTCATGATGACATGAAGCCAATGAAATTCAGTCAGCAATAGGCCACTGTCTAGCTGGTGTATTTGCATACAGCAATCTGATTGGCTGATGCTTCTGAATCCACAATGCAATTCGGCAACGCCTGACGTCACTTATTCAAAGTGAATGGGAAGGGTTGAAGCTGATGGGGCGTTAAGACTAATTTATACTTTCTGCGTGAAGCGCACACACATGCTACTGAGCAGCCTACGTGTGGATGCATAGCCCTCAACGTCAGGGTCGCTGACGGCACCTCTCAAAAAATGTAACTACACATCACAACAACACGTAGCGCAAGCTCTGTGATTGGTCGGCTTGGTAGCGCTGATAAGTGCGGGTGGAACTGAGAGTCGCGTGAGTCCATTGGAGCGACTGTTTACACATGTCGAGTCCCATGAAGGAGCTCCAGATGAAAAGTTTTATTTTGTGTTTGCCTTGTGATTAAAGTTGTTGCACGTTCGCTAGTTCCTGCCTCAACATTTTGAACCACTTGTACATTAAGGATGCATTCAGAAAAAACAAAACACCAGCGAAGAAACTCGACACAGAGAAACATAAACACCTCACTGCCAACTAGCGTTTTGGAAGTGTTATTGCAGAGCAGCAGAAACAGCGCATAGAAGTTTGAATGCACTGCTATGCATGTTGCATGCACTGTGGGTCATGCTGATTACTTGACGCAGAAGTATAAACTAGGCTTTAGGCACAACCATTATTCTTCTGGCCAAACTTCCTTCCTTTAAATCCAAATGAGCTGCTTCTCCCCGCCGACTGCTCCAACATGCGTGTTGGTGTCTCATGCATTAGGTCAGATAAAAAGCAGTCAGTGATTGAGACAGACACAGATGAAGCTGAAATAAGGTCATGAGTCAAAAAATACCAAGTAAGTTTATTTGATGTATTTTCGGTGGAGTTTATTCAAGCCTTTCTGAAATGATGAGTCACACAAAAAAATTCAGTTTGCAGTACACATACACGCATACATATGCGCATTTACTGACATGATGTTCCAATGGTGATTATTGTGGTGGGGCCTCAAAATCACTGGGTTTTGGATCCTATTTTATATAAGTAAATTTTAAATAAGAGACTTGTTTGGTTTATATCACTTCAATATGACTGTGGGCACACTTTACACAGAGTTCTGTCTAAACAGCTTACAAAAGTTCCTTTTTATCATAGATGCCCTTTAATTAGGTTACTATATATATATATATATATATATATATATATATATATATATATATATATATATATATATATATTTTATTTTTTTTTTTAATATATCATTGTGCAAATCTGAGTGTGCTTCACACCGGTGAGCAAGCTTGATAAACCACCTGTGTGAACCTCTTTCTTTCTGTATGCGACAGACACTTTCCTATTAACAGTCTATTATAATAACTTCGTAATAATAATGCTAATAAAAAATAACTTAGACTTGTCATGGCTTCTATAAACTGCAGCTTTCAGCTGATTTAAAGTGCTTCTTTTATCTTCATTTGTAAGTCGCATTGGATGAAACCATCTGCTGTATTTGTAAACTGAATGTAAAAATATAATCCATTCCATTCCTGAAAATAAGAACATGAATCCCTGCTGTTCTAGTGAGTTGTAAATTAAGTTTACTGTAAAAATGTGTTACACAAATATACCCATGGGGAAAAAAGCTATATTTAACATATGCATATTACTGGTTTCTTAAAAGTTTTATCTTTTTGTTCCAAGTTGTACTTTTTGTCCTGAAAGTCAAGAAAGGAAAATAATAGCACCAATGAGAAG